AATCAACTTATAAGACAGTATTTTGAGGAATGTCCAAGAGCTATGGAAATAGATGACCAGCCAAATGAGAACACTCAAAGCCCTTCCTGCGACAAGGTTGTCAGAACCCATCACTTGCATTTTTGCAGATTCTCAAAGGCAGGCAGAAGAGTGGTAAAGCCTTATAGTTTAAAAAGGTAAGACTTCAGGTATGCCCTGATTGGGAAGCTGGAGCTGGGCTAAATAGAAGATGCATCCTACATGATTGTTAGGCGTACATATTTGGCCTTCTCTGGTTGGTATTATGTTGCAAACAAGGACAAAAATGAAGGAATCTTCATTATTATTAATTATGCTTAATAATGGAATCGTCCATTATTAATCATGTCCTGGCTCTTTGGTGCCATCGTTACTGGGGTCATCCTTTGGCATCCTGAAATGTTGCTAAATATAATGGTATGATTTTCTATAGGTTTCACTTCTAGATAGCTGGCATCTTGGGCTGGTTATATAGATAATGGGTTGGTTTCCTGTGCTGGTTACCAGAGACTGTGGGTCTGAGTTCTATCTTTCTATATGGTCTGGCCATTGTCTATTTCTATATTCTCTCAGTCTCACCCTGGTCTTTCTCTCACTTCTGAGAAGTTGACTAATTTGGGGGAAACACAGATTCAAATCTTCACTGCTTTAGAGACTGTTCATCTTCATAGTGGGTACTGCAAGATTGGCTTGACCTTTTTACTGTTATATCATCACAGTGATCATCTGATAAAAGTGCAGTTGCATAGAAGCATTTAAGACTCTGGACAAACAGACCAGCGTCATGACCACTATGACAAAAGCAAGCACAATTAATAGTCCCTCGTCTGTTTCATAGATCCAAGGACAAGCAGTATTAGCAGTGGCACAGATTCCACCATGACTAGCCAACAAGAAATCTAGAGCAATGAGACAGTCCATCACTACTTGTGTCCATGAGTTGAGACAAATGTTTACTACATCTAGGGCAGAACTGGTGTCTTAAAACTACTGCCAAGGATAGTGATAGGTTTATTAGTCTTTTATATTTGTATGATTCCCACTGATGGGAACACTACTCATATCGTTCACATAAACAATGAGTCAGTACTCTCCTCAGTGTGCTGAATAGAAGACCTCATTTTAGAAATCACTCCTGAGTCGGATTTCCAACGTTGGTGATTTATAGAACTAGGGTCCCTCATGTATGGACAAGTTTTAAGATATTATTCCTAAAGTGCATGACGTGTTAGTATGAATCCTGTGGGTCCTGGCCACAAAGAAAGTAGTTATCTGTCAAGGGCACATAGACATCTGGGAACAAAGGAGTCATTCATGATATAAGGTCAGAACCAAGGGCTTACAGGACTGGGTTACATTTTTGGATCTCTATCGGTCTCTACCAGGTAGTAAGTATTGGGCACATTGCCCTATGAAGATTATTGAAATCAAACTTAGGATCGCCTGAGTTCTCATCAAGATTGAAATAATCAGTTCTTTTTCTGGGAGAGAGGGACACTAGCAATGTCACACATTGATTCATGTAAGGTCAAGGTCCATGTATGTGCAAGTGGAAATGCCATCCGCTGTAACTCCCTATGGTCTCATTTGATGCAACCTGCATGGCCCAAAGGTTTTATCATGGTAGGCGGGTGATGAATGGCATATCCAGCAGTGACTGAGGGTAGGGGCTGCTGTTAGGGATAACCTAATAAGGGTGTTAAGATTATGTTCTGACCTAACCTAACCTTATAAGGAAGAAACGAGTAAAAGGGCCATTAGTGGTGATGACAAGGGGTCTGTGGAAAATGAGAAGTGGAACAATTACAGGCAAGCAGATTAAAAATACAAAACAGTAATTTGTTAGACAGATGTCTTGCTGTGAGGTATCGAGTGGAAGCTGTCATCTGTTTGTTCCGAAGGTTTTGGGTCACCTGTCTGCTTTTGAAGATCAGCTCAGAATCCTCAGTTTGAGGTCTTGGATTGGAGTAGCCTTCCAATTGTGTGGAAATCTGGATTTCTTTTTTAGTTGTGCAACATGAACCAGAGTGACTCTCTGGAGTTTCACTACTCTATTTATTGCTAACAGCACCTGATAGGTTCCCTCCAATGAGATTTATGAGCAGTTATTCTCTGGGGTCTGTTCCAACAGAATCTACTAGTTGAAGATCATAAAAAAGCCCTTTAAAACATGTTTTCAGAAGGTGGCCTTAGTGAGTTGGTGACAGGACTGGATATATTATGTGAATCCCCGGTAATATTTTGCCATGTCTGCATGTAGCAGAGCAGTAACTAGTATTGGAAGTGAAATCCCTAGACACATGCATGAGTCTTCCACTTAGTAATTCACAGCGGGATAACTGAGTGAGTGGACTCCATGGCCATAAGGGCAAGAGGGAATATCTTTGGCCAAGGGAGCTTAAAGGTTTCTGAAAGTTTTGCTGATGTTAACGATGCCAGTGGTCTGTTCAACTTTTCTAGAAGATTGTGAGTGATAAAAGAGAGTGTTTATAATGGTTCCCATAAAGTGTGTGACATGATGACTTGATGTAGATGTAAACATTGGGATGATCCAGGGCTGGAAACAAAATCAATCAGCTTTTCAGTGACTATAAGAGCTGCAGCTTTTCAGCAAAGAAATGCTTTAACTCACTCTGCAAATGGACATACAATCACTAAAATATATTCAAGTCCCATAGAGGGTAGAAGCTGGATAAAGTCCATAAGAAGGTGTTCAAGGGGCCCTTGAGGTATGGCCACCACTTATCCAGGTCCCCTTGGTGATGTGTGCATGGTCCAAGCCACTCAGTCCCTATTTGTCCCCCACTGGCTTGGGACTGTCCAGTAGGGATCAGAGCTTCAGGAAGAGCCAGGTGGGAACCTTACCCACCCCCTCATGTCAACCTCAGCCCCTGCAAGGCCCCCCAGGTATAAATATCTCAATATTTGCCCCCAGTGATCTTTTGCCCCCCTCTCCAAAGGCACTGCTAACCCTAATCCCCACCCCTTAGGACAATCATCACTCTTCAAAGATTCTCCATCTGAGGGGCGCCTGGGTGGCTCAGTCATTGGGCGTCTGCCTTCGGCTCAGGTCATGATCCCAGGGTCCTGGGATCAAGCCCCACATCGGGCTCCCTGCTCCACAGGAAGCTTGCTTCTCCCTCTCCCACTCCCCCTGCTTGTGTTCCCTCTCTCGCTGTGTCTCTATCAAGTAAATAAATAAAAATCTTAAAAAAAAAAAAAAAAGATTCTCCATCTGAGTCCCTTTCCTAGGCCATGAGTTCTTTACATCCTCAAATCGCCCCAGAGGCAGGTTTGCTCATGATCTCCATTTTACACAGCTGGAAACTGAACCTAGGGGGAGGTTGGGCAGCAAGTTTCTCTTTGTGACCTCCACTGAGAGGTGGGGATGGAGGAATCAATTCCAAGCCCATCCCTCCTTCTGGTTCCAACTACTTTACGGATCATAATCACCTCCTCCCTCTGTCCCTAGGGCACCCTGCAGACCCTCTCCTTCCCAGATGCTGATGGCTCCCATAAGACTTTGCTAAGGCCACCATAATACATTACTTCAGACTGGGTGGTTTAAGCAACAGAAATGTATTTTCTCATATGCTAGGTATCTGATATCAGGGTGTCAGCAGCACTGATTTCTCCTGAGACCTCTCTCCTTGGCTTGTAGGTGGGCATTTTCTTCCTCTGTCTTCACATGATCTTCCCTCTGTGTGTCTGTGTACTAATTTCCTCTTAATGACACTAGTCACACTGGATTAGTGTCCACAGTATCGCCTTTATTTTACCTTTTTAAAAACCCTATTTCCAAATGCAGTGACATTCTGAGGTACTGGAGATTATGATTTCAACATATGAATTTGGGAACATACAATTCAGCCCATAACTAACACATCTTTTCATAGGGAGCTAACAGGGAGGAGTTCTCCTTAGGATGACCTCATTTAACAGTCCCCAAATCACAGCCCTGTAACTACAGCTCTGAGGCGCTCTGAGGTATCAACACAAGAGGAATGAAACATATCCATACAAAGAATCATAAATTTAAGAATCAAACAAATGTCTCTAACAACTGTTTGATAAAGCCCCAAACTAGAAACAACTCAAATATCTGAAACAGATGAGTAAATAAACAAATAGTAGATAGAACATTACATTTCTTGACAACATTAAAAGAATGAACTAATTACACAGACCCACTGACAAATCTCAAAATAAATATACCAGATGAGAACACCCAGCGGGGAAAAAAAACTAAACATTTTATTTTCATTCGTGTAAAATTACATTAAATACATATGAATCTATTGTAGAAGAAAGTAAATCAATGTTTGCCTGGAGGGCAGAGAGAAGGAGATAATAATTAAAGGGCATGAGTGAATGTGGGGTGATGCATATGCACATTGTTACGATTTGTGATGATGGTTTCATGGGTTTATAGGAATGTCAACACTCATCAAATGGTACAGTTTAAATATGGACAATTTATTATTTATTAACCATACCAAAAAGGCATTAACGGTATAATAAAAAAAAAATTCTGTTTTCAAAAAACAAAGTTTGGCAAACCTGTATTGACCGCACCATATCCCTTGTAATGCCCTGGGATCAGCACCTTGCTTCGTTTGCAGCAAATACAGGTGAGCAATGAAAGCCATTTCCACCTGAGTCATTGGGAATGCAGGCTGCGTAAAGCCTGCATTTCTGGACTGAGATCTTCTTTCTTTCTATCTTTGTTTTCCTTCCTGTGCAACAAAGGCCTTATGGTGAACAATGCAGAGAAACTACAGGAATCCATAAAACTGTTAGATTCCTTTTCTTATAGAGAGAGCACACGTGAGAGAGTGTGAACGTGGTGGTGGTGGGGGGAGTGTATGCACAGGGAGAAGGAGAGAGGATCCCAAGCAGGCTCCGCACTGAGGCTAGATCTGTTTGCAGGGCTTGACCTCACAACCCTGAGATCATGACTTGAGTCAAAACCAAGAGTCAGATGCTTAACCAACTGAGCCACCCAGGCGTCCCCCTATTAGATTATTTTCTGACAAGGCCCTCAGCTACACAAGCTTCACAGTTCAGAAGGATCTGAGAATTTCTGTACTTGCTCATCCTTCACAGCCATACTGACTAGCACAATAGCAGGTGCCCTTTTATAAAAGAGGCACAATCCAACCAGTTTGTTGCAATCTCTTGCCCTCTCTGTTAATTCTCCGTTTGTGTACAATTATGACTCCCCCTATAATCTTTCAGCCAGTGACACCACCAAACAGAATTCTGGGCATTAGGGTACATCTCTCCTTTCCAAGACCTGGGAACAGATTTCCTGCACCAGTGCTGAGCACAATGCAACATCCCCTGCAAACAAGAAAACAATTTTATGTTGTTCCCAGAAGTACCAGAGATTGTCACAACTGCCCCCTCTTCAAGGTGAGTGCTGACAGCACGAAACTTCCTGGCATCCAGGCTACAATTTAACCACAAAGCCCTACATAATTTCCTTAGAGGCCTTCGGCAACAATGCAAACAAGGCCCAAACTAGAGACAGGACTACCATCCTTCTATCCCCCTGAAGCACACAAAGATTGGGGTGCCCATGCCAGCTATTTCTCCTGTCATTCTGAAACCACCCCATAAAGTAAATCTAACCCTCAAGATAAAGATGACTTGCACAATAAGGCCTTTGTTATAGCACAAACCAGAATTAACAGAGGAAGGCTGTTCCTCGGTTAGTGATTTGGAGGCTAGGAAATTCCATCACAAGAATTACCAGACCAATATCCCTAAAAAAGGTGACTTTTCAGGTCACAGGCAGAACTCAGATGGAGTCCTCTGGAACACAACAGGGTCATCTGTGCCCTACTAATCAGAGAGAAAAAAATGAGTACTCTGGCTTCTCACATTTACCCAGTGAATGGGAAAACACCAAGGTTTACTTTGCTGAACACATCAGAGCAGATAAATGATATACATATGGGCACCTGCAGGTGGGAGAGGTGAATGGCTGCTGCTACAGAATCAACAGTAATAAAAATTCACACGGGTCCAAGCTGAAACATGCAACACAGCTCCACATACCTGGAATTTATTTTGATGTGTGGATGTAAGAGGCGCCATTCAGGCAAATGGTACCCTCAAAAGAGATCTCCTCGTTGTTATACTGAACAAGGAAATACATTTGCTACATATCTAAGTTGTTTCTCCCATGTGAATTTTGTGGTAATCAATGAGGTAAGGGCTTCGGCTAATGGCTTTCTCATTCAAGATATTTATAATGCCCAATCCAGTATGAACTCTCTGGTGTCGAGTGAGGCCAGAGCTTTTACTAAAGGATTTCCCACACTGGTTACACTTATACGGCCTTTCTCCAGTGTGAACTCTCCGATGGTCACTGAAGTTGGAGCTTCGCCTAAAGGACTTCCCACACTCATTGCACTCATATGGCCTTTCTCCAGTGTGAACTCTCTGGTGTTTAAGGAGCGCAGAGCTTTGGCTAAAAGATTTTCCACATTTGCTGCACTCATAAGGCCTTTCTCCAGTGTGAACTCTCAGATGTAGAACAAGGCTGCAATTCTGGCTAAAAGATTTCCTACATTCACTGCACTCATAAGGCTTTGATCCTGTGTGGACTTTCTGGTGTTTTAAAAGACTGGAATTGTAGGTAAAGGATTTCCCACATTCACTGCACTCATAGGGCCGTTCTCCGGTGTGAACGGTATGGTGTTGCAGGAGCGCAGAACTTTGATTAAAGGACTTCCCACACTCACTGCACTCATAAGGCTTTTCTCCAGTGTGAATTCTCCGATGTTGAATGAGGTTGGATCTTTGACTGAAGGATTTGCCACATTCTCCACACTCAAATGGCCTCTCTCCAGTGTGAACTTTCCGATGGTTATTGAGGCTGTAGCTTTGGCTAAAAGATTTCCCACATTCACTGCACTCGTAAGGCCTTTCTCCAGTGTGAACTCTCCGATGTTGAAAGAGGTTGGAGCTCTGGCTAAAGGATTTTCCACACTCCCCACACTCGTAAGGCCTTTCTCCTGTGTGAACTCTCTGATGTTTAATAAGGCTAGAGTTATGGCTAAAAGATTTCCCACATTCACTGCACATGTAACATCTCTCTCCAGGGCGGACTCTCTGGTGATGAACAAATGTGTGCTTGTGGCTGAAAGCTTCTGTGCTGTCTCCCCAGCAGTGTTGAGTTTTTCCCTTGTGGAAAGCCGCCCCACATTCAGTTGCATTGTTTGACTTCTCTCCAGTCTGTGTGGCCTGCTGCTGGAGGAATCCTGAGCTGGCCAAGAAATCCTTCCCAATCTCCCCACAGATAAAGGGCTTCCCTGACACTTGCAACCTGCAGCTCTTGATCACTGAAGCTCTGCTTACATTGTTACCGAAGGGCTTATCGCTCACATGCTGCTTCTGCTGCTGCTGAAGGTTTTCGCTGAAACAGAATCTTTTCTCATGTGTCTCACCAGTGTACACTTTCTCACTGAATTGTGTTTCCTGGTGCTCAGCCGAGTAAAAATTATCTTTCAAGACTGGACCACACACCTCATAGGGGTTGGCCTTCTGGGGAAAAAGACCTGTCTTGGGAGCCCTGACATGTGACACTCCTACAGAAATGCTCTGCTCAGATGGTGCCTCCTCATCCTCTGCTCCATGCCAACAACCTGAAAGCAGGAAATGCTGGTGAAGTGCACGATGACTTTTGTGGGTAGGCAGCCGCTACCCAAGCATGTCTAACAAACCCAGAAACGAGTGCATGAGACTGTTCATAGGATAAGAGGTTTGAGTTCAGGCTGAGGATGAGGCTGCTTAGCAGTGCTGGGCCGTCACTGCTCACAAAATGGAGGTTTAGGGGCACTCATGAGGTGAAATAAACACACTGAAGAGAGACAAGGTCTACACATAACTTTCAACAGGACCTAGTCTGCCATGCAGAAGGGTGTGTTCAGGCCCAGGAAAATTCAACAGTGAAAGAGAGCCTGGTGTTCAAGGACTGTTTAACAATCTGTGTTCACCTCACGACACAACACATAAGAGCCAAGGAGGACAGTACCCCACATGGAACAGTGACTAAAATGGTCAAGATGTGGAATCCAGGGAGGTGCAGATTAGCCCTGGGCAGGAAGTAAGAGTACAAGTGATGAATAGCAGTTGACCAGTCACCTGAGTGTAAAGACGGGAAGGAAAGGCAGGTATGAAGTGTGCGGGCCACTGTCATTACCAACAAAAGACCAGCCATGTGGAATAAGTTTCTGGTATGATGTGTACACAGCCCTGAGGTCATGCCACCCCCAGGTGTCACTGTTCAGAGCCAGGCTGTGAACCACAACAGACTCTCCACAATCCCGAGATGAGCAACTATGTGGCACCTGGATGATGCAAGTATAAATAAGGGAAAGACAGGAGAGATAAGTGGACAGCACTGGCCAAGAACAGCTCAGCACATGCAGTGCACAGGAAAGAAAACTATTATAAAGAAAACTTCCAAGAAGGATCTTGCAAGAACAGACCGTGGTCTACATTACAGTGATGGTCAGTGATGGCAATTTCTAGCACAAGAAGGAATGAGGAAATGTCAGCTAGAAAAAGAAAGTGGAACCTGGGATACTTGGGTGCTTTGTAACTGCAAATCGCCTGGCAGGGAGAGGGCAAGCAAAGTGGGATCCACTGGGCTGAATGGAACAGTCCTGACCCTGGCTCCTTCCCTGAGAGGCTATGGGAGTAGCAGGTGTTGGGGCTGCTCAAGGAGAAGGCAGTGCACATACCTCAGCCAGCCAACCACACTGCCTATTCAAGGAAGTGGGCGAAGGAAGCAGAGACCATGATCCTGATGGGAGAATAGATCTGCCCTTGGGGAAAAAGGCAAAGGGAGAGACTAGCTCAGGGTACAGAGGTGGGTGTGAGGACCTTACCCAGGGAGGTTATAAGCGCCAAGTTCTCCAGCATCACATCCTGGTACAGGTGTCTCTGAGCCTCATCAAGAAGATCCCATTCCTCCCAGGAGAAGGACACAGCAACGTCCTCAAAGGTCACAGTGCCCTGGCAAGATGGAGACAGATGAAACCATAAACAGCCTCTCCCTCATAGATGACAATCCATCTCCTCCACATCTACCCCTCACCCATCCTCCTCCTGAGCATCCAACACAGAAGAGAAACCAGGCCCTAGCACTGCTGGTGCCACTGTCTCCTCACAGGTCCATTGATCATGGGCACCAGCCATCAGTAAGATGAGGCAGGTGGATAAAAAGGTATAAAACAAGGGTTTGGCACAGAGGCATTCACCCATTTCTGCTAAGTAATTCCCCTAATACGGACAAACCATGCAATTCCCAATCCCAGGGCCCTAGGGCATCAGGCATACACCCTCTACAAGTACACATCATTCTTTAGATGGCATATCCCCCACATTGCAGACACTGCCACATGCCCATGGCTGCCACCACCTTATTGCCCTGCATACCTTAGGCAACTACTCTCTGGTCTTACAATTATATATGACTGTTATGTCAATCACCTGCTCTTCACCCCACTGGTGAGGACGGGAATGGATTGTGTGCTAGGGTTATGGGGATGGCCAAACACAGAACACCTAACACTGGACAGATGAGACTGACAGCACTTTTCTAACCATATATATTCACAGTCTGAGAGAGGACACCACACACCACACAGGGCCACAGGGGGGTGGCACTCTGGGAAAGAGTGAACAGATGGTGGTTGTGAGATCCAAGATTTGTAATATCAATACAAAGAGGTACCCGTTTCCCCTGGGAAGATGCCACTGACTTATTGTCAGTAACTCCATGGGCAGGTAGGGAACTGAAACCAACTACAGAGGGATAAGCAGGAACGGCTCCTGATCCCCTTGATAAAAACATCGCTTGGTTAGGAGATCTTATTTCTGGGAGCAGAGTGGGGAGCAGAAGTAGCACTCTGGCCATCGGAGGCCCTCACAGTTTCCAAACATCAGTGCCGCATGTAATGTTGGCTCTTAATTTTAGACCTTGCACCACAACCTGAATACAGCATCCATAGGATGCTTCGCAAATTCAAACAGCATTGAATACTGCTACTGACTTCCCAGAACGCCCACTAGCCGTCGCAGCCCCAAATCCACCTACCAAGACTTCACTGCTTGGGTCTATTCCTTGCCTCAGATGTGTATGGATCTCAGATACCCATGGCCCTATTCCACAAGGTGCTGTGCTTGCTGTCCCCAAAGCAATCACAACCTTCCTCTGTCCACCTAACCCTCATCAAAGCCCAGCTCCATCAGTGGTCCACCCCAGGCCTTAGTGACTCTCACAAATGACCACGTTTGCCCTTGACCTTATCCTCCTGCCTGAATGAAATAGCCCAGACCCCAACAAAGTCCTCAAAAAAGCCTGGTGAGTGCACAGAGTGGTGAGTAAACACCCACTGCGGTCTGCCTGACATCTTGCCTCGGTTATCCCCTCCCTCCGCGTCCACCTCATTCATGTCCACCCTTGCCTTGGAAGCCTTGGCCACCTGCCAGACTACCCCGTCCCTGACACACACTCCTTTCAGGGCCATGTGCCTGCCCCATTTGTGTTTGTGAAGCCTCCACCCATCACCCAGGTACCCAGCCAAGAGACCCAGTCCACCTTCCCCATCCCCCCTACCTGGCCCCTCATAGCTTTACAATCATCACCTGTCGATTACCCCTCCTAATCGTGAACACCCTGAACACTCCATCCTGAACCTTCCCCAGATTCCCAGTCCTATGTGTACAACTGCCTACATCATACATCCATTCAGTGGTCTCTGAAACACCCCAGACTCTCAATATACCTAAATCAAAGCTCCTAACACCCCCACAGTGAGTATTACTACATTCTTCATCTCAGATAATGGACCTTCCACTCCTACAGCTGCTAAGACCTAAAACACTGGGGTCATCCCTGAGTCCTGTATTTCACTCCTTCTCCTGCATCAGAGAATCTAGTTGCCCATTTAAAACATGCACCCAGAATCCAACTACCTTCCCTAAGCCACAGCTCTGGCCCATTAACTCTCACCTGGGCTTTGGCAGTAGCTGCAGAGCCTGATCTTCCTTCTCCCCCGGTCTCACGGTCTGTTCTACACTCTGCAGCCAGACAGAGTCTGGTAAGATCGTGAGACCACTTTCTGCCTCTGATCCACACCCCCCATCACCTCCAGAATACACACCCAACTTCTCAGTCGTTCCAGTCTTGATTCCTGACCCCCTGCTCTTCATTCCTACCTAGAAGGGTACCTGTGGTTTTCTGAACGCTCAGTTCAGCTACACCTCTAAGCATCTGCATATCTTGGAACCAGTTCCTAGTACATCGGTTGCCAGAAGCCTTACCTGGACTTAGGACCCTCTGCGTAGGATTTCCCCAGGGCCCCCAGACCCAGGCCTGGGGGAATGACACTTAAGAGCCCCAGGACACCACAACCCAGAGAATGTGTGCGCGGTGGCCAGGGCCAGTGAGGGGCTGAGACAGCCTCCACCCACCTGTGTTAAGTTCCAGGGCACCTCTGCCGCAAGGGGAAACTGTGCAGAGGCTGGCAATGGAGGAACGGGTCCATGGCAGGGTTCGCTGGGCCCATGTTACCCGCACCCTTCCCTGGCCCTGGAGTCAGGCGACTTCACGCTGGCTGTCGGACCGCTGGGCCTCAATGCTGTGTCCCCTCTTGCCAACCGTGCCACCTGAACTAAGATCCAACCTCCCAAGGCCTCAACGTCCTCTTCACGGCCCTCCCGTCCGCTCTTCCTTTGAACCGCCTTCGGAAAACTTTTAAATCGCAAACGGAGATCGGGTCCCTCCTGCGGCCGAAAGGCCCCTTGGCGCCTGGAGTCCTCACCTGGAGGTACGGCACCTCGGCCCGCCAGTCCCGGCGCGACGCCGCCTCACGCGCTGTCCCCTGCGGGCAGCCTCCTCCGGCCTCAGGCCCCCTCCGGCCTCCTCCCTCCGGCCTCCCTCCCGCCTC